ACTAAATGAATGTTATAAATAAATTAGTATTTTTTTTTCACTTATGAGCATTTGGTTTGAGGGATATCGACGACGACTTTTGACATCTTGCCGACTCTCAAAAGTCGCGACTTTGATAGCAAAATATACTTACCCTCATTAATGCAATTTTCCGTGCATTTCTCACATTATCTAGAATGTTTTCGTTGATTTTAGACTTTATTTTATTACTTGGTAATTCAAAATGCTGGAATTGGCACACTTGACGATAATTAGCACACTTATGATCGTCATATTTGTTCGCGCCTTTGAAATTAAATCATAAGCAACAAATTATATTAGAGCTTGAAAAAGTACATATAAAAATATCTGAATTTTAATATTATTATTATTAATAGAAATGCAATTAACGCCAACATCACGAAAATACGCCATTTAACCATAATAGTCTCCAGAAAAGCTATAATTTTGTTCTCTTTTTAGCATATGAAAACCTCTGACATCGTTATCAAGATAGACAAAGAGTCAAACATTGGATGCAATATAAAGTCGTATGCGTCACGCGTTGCTATAAGACACACACACTTCAGCTGTCTGACTCGGATTCCGTCTTTGGGTTGTTGCAGTGATAACAGCGTTTATAAATTTATACGTTTGTGGACATATTGTAAAAATTGGAATTATTCTCTTATTCTTATGGTAGGAATAATGTTAAACCAATTAATCATCTAAATATTCAGAAACCCATTAAAAGGCCCGCAGTTCAGTATTTCCCCATGACAATTTTCTGAGCGAAAAAAGGCAGCGAGAATGCACAAATATCAGCACTTATTTTTTCAACAACTACAACTACAAATATCAGCCTGGATCGAACATGTATGTCACAAAATAAAGTTTCCGCGAACAACTTTTCTAACTAAATAATTATGATGTAAGACACATATTGAGGCATGAGGGAATCCGAAATTATTACCTATATCAAGAAATTAAATCCAAAATAGATTTTAGTTTCGGTTTCGCTCCAGAATTAAAACGTGCCTCCGGGCGTAAATATTACGCTAATCACCGTTTTGTTTTCAGGATAAAGAGGTGTCCTGCGCCCATAACACCCTAGCTTCCTGGTATTACCAGAAATAATTTGTGTCGCTCAGTGAGGCCAGCACACTAGACAGGCTCAACAGCCGGCACGCAACTCCGACCATCACTATAACCGCCATTTTGGAAAATGAGTGGCGCCACCTATAGTTAGTTGGAGTGGCGAATACGGTGAAACTTAGCGAAAGCGCCAGTGCGACTCCGACCTTCGAGACAGACTTCGTAAACAATCCGTTTGGATATGTGTGCGACGTGTGTGAAAGACTGTGGCACATGAAAGACTTGACGCCGGTAAGTAGTGCCATGCATGAAACGCTGCGTTTAGGGCGCCGCCTATCCAATCGGGAACCACCATTGATCTTGTGCATCAGAGACAGACAATCAATTCCAAATACTACGTTGGGGCCATAGAGACGGCAGCGTGTTACTACACTGACCACCGAGCCGTCTTGTGGCAATAGAGAAGCAACCAGACGTTGACAAAAAAAAAATATCCATGTGTCACATAATGCCTATACCGCGAGTGTGTCATTGAAGCAGCAGTAAGCATGATAATCAAACTAATCCTAGACAACCAGGACAGCTAAGAATAACCAGCTGAATCTTACCTGAGGCTACGTATATTCTGGCATAGCCGAGCTAAGCCACTGCACATTTTTTTGAAAACATTCGCAAAGAGTACCTAAGCAAGATGAAAGGAAAGCGTTTATATCGGGACACAATTGACTTGGTGATGCCACCGCCCCTCTACCTCTCAGTCCTTGCGGAAGCCGACGGATCAGATGTATTTAGGCGTTTACGGAGGTTCCCTGTTCGGCAGGATATGAACTATGTTTTTGTCAGGTTTCATGTGGAAGTGCTACAAGTTAAAACACGAGAGGATCAAAAAGGTTTTAAGGCGAATGCCTTATATGTCCCATTACGCGAAGAGGCGGCGTCGGCGTTGTGCCCGAAAGATGTCCATAAAAATGCGTAATCAAGGACAAGTAGCGGACGCACCTCAGAAATAAAACACAAAGAAAACCACAGGAACGCTGACGCTTTGTCAGCCGTGGTGCCGGCGGGGCACCACGCCTGCGCAGTGGGGGAACATGATATCACCGCCGCAGTGGTGTGTACAAAAGAAAGACGTGGGGCGCTGCTTGATGGAATGCGCGGCGCTTAAGAATGCTTTTGTATCCCTACACGTAAGGAGTCGTGTCTTCGGAATGTTTTTTCCCCTCCGATGGGGCACAAACTGTGTCCTTTGTCCTTTCGCAGAAACGCCGCAGCACACTTTCTTGTTTTATTCAAATGCCTAATTGTTTTGGTCGCAATTACGCTCAGAAAGCAGAATCGAGATGTACTAAGCATGGTACTCCAAGAAGTTCCTAGATGTCGGCAAGCAAGAATACACCCTAAGCTGCGAAATACTGACTGATTGCACTGCATGCTAAAAGGAATTTTCCTATTGATTAGACTTCCGCAAGTGAGAAAGGGCAACCTGCATGGCGAAACTTGGTTGAGGGTGTTCACCAATTCAGCTCCTTAGTGAAGGATATAAAGTTCCCTGAAAGCGATTCCTGGGAAACTGACGTCACAAGTAACATGACGAGCTGCCCAGATAAGAAACCATACAAATTACGTGCACCGCTGTATTTGCGATGTTTTCTCACCCTCCGTCACTTGGGTGGCCATCTGCATGCGAGAGATTAAGCTGCTCTGACTGCTGTAGAATTGTCGCATTTTGAATGGAGTAGTCCAAAGCTGCCGACCAACCGGCTATTGCTTTGCACACACGTTCCTTTTATGCAATCAAAGCAAATTAGAAAAGTCGGCAACACAGGCGGCTGGTAAACAGAAGAATGGGGTTCGAATCCCGCTCGGACCTGATCCCTTCATTATTACAATATTACACCAGGCGGAAAGCGGACGTAAATGAACGCATAAAAAATACAGTGCCTGATATGCATAAGCCGACCATCCATCCTTAGATGGATTGTCGGCTTATGCATCTACAGAATAAGCGCTAATGACAGCATACGTTTTATGCGGGGCTGGGCGTCGAATAAAAATTGTAATACAATTAATCGGCACCCTTTAATCGATTAATTCATCCATTATTCAGTCTCGTGCATTTTTCTGCGTAATGTTATTAAAAGCTCAAAATTATTTTTTATGCTTTTTTTTTCTTTTACTGAATATGTGATCAATGGGGCAGTATGCAATTTCGATTATGAATCAACCTTGATGTGTAGTTGAAAACAGTTGAAAAGCGTTTTGCATATTTTTACTTTAGTTTGGTGGGTTAAAGGAATTCGTTGATATTTCCCTGCAAGAGTGAACTATTTTGATTGTTCACAATATTCTGTGCTGAGCTAACATGGCGTTGAAGTGGCCGCGACAAGTGCAACATTTTGTAATTGTCCAGAGTTACAAATCTCGCTCCTTCAATTTACTTTAGGTTCAACTTTCACCTAACATGTGCCCTTCGTACAGATGTACCCGTCCAAGTCTGCATGATGAAAGTGTTTAATTTTTACTTTTTTATGATTCGACAAAATGTTACTGATTAACTGGTAAAAACAACTAATCGCAATTACAGCATTAATTGATTAATTGGTAGGTTAATCGACCAGATGCCAGGCACTGCTCTTATGCCTTTATTTTATTCTATTTTATTTATTTACTCCCTCAGGGCCCGAAGGCATTACAGAGGGGAGTGGACAGAACATCTATAATACAACACATAGTAAATTAGGCAGGCGGAAAAAAAAAGAATCATCAAACAAACTTGTTACTTCGAGCAGAGAACATAGTTACAAACGGCATCTTTAAACTCACGCACTCGTTGAACTCAGTTATCTCTGAGGGTGCCCTAACTACATCTCACTCCAAGTCAACTATACAAACTACAAAAATGCTCGCGGTGACTTGTGCGAAATTGTTTTGAAGTTCCGATGTTCTTCCTTTTATCGCAGTATCGCCATGAAATGGTAAGGGAGAATGATAAGGTTATCAATATGTTACAACAGCAAGACACTCCTTATCTCACCTTTTTTTTATATGGGAAGCTACCGACTATTTTCACTCGGCTAACACTCCGATTTAGCAGGAATTTGCGCACGGCATAAAAGTTGAAGGGGAATATGCCACGTGGGGACAGATATGCGAACTAGAAGCGCCTGTCGAAAATTTTTGGCCATACGAAAGAACTTCACTTGTGACAGTTTATTCGGGCCGGTGCGCATCGACAACAGGCCGACGATCAGGCTCGAAATTCTGCAAGGCAGAAGATCTTCCTCATCACGGGGGAGAAAGAAACAGGCAAGGGTGGACAGTGTGGAGTGGAAAGTGCAAAATGGTCGTCTGCCTTTAAAAGCATGAAACTTGGGCATTTCTAGAGCGCTGTAATAACGCAATTGCTCGCTAGGTAACTAAGTCGTCGCGCAGACATTCAAACAAAAGGTAGCTATTGGAAAACCGGAAGTATCGCTCTCCTCCTGTCATGGAGGCAGGAAGTTACGCGAACATCCCGTATAAACAGAACATTAACATGCAGGTCCGAATAAGCGTAATCTGTGACTATACTCAAAAGACGACCGAAATCGAAAAGTCTAATTCTTTCTCATTTTTGGCTATATCCGAAAATGAGAAAGATTTTGACTTTGAGCTCAAGCTGCAGGCCCGTGCGAATGTACGCACGCATTTGCACGGGCCTACAGCTTGTGCTCATGCGCTGCAGCCCACGGGGCAACAAAACTCATCAAAGCTCTGGTTTGGGCTAGTTGGTTTATACTGAATAAAAAAAGGTTAAAAAGCGCGAACAAACGGGGACAACAAAGAAGCACGGGAGTGTTGAGAGTGAAGCGCCTGTCCTGTCGTCCGTTTTCCTTCATTGTCCCCGTTTGTTTGTGCTTTTTTACCTTTTATTCAACCAGACTCACCTCCATGACCACGAAGAGGGCGCCGAAGAAGATGAGCGTGGTCCATTCCACCCGAGCAATGACCCCCTCCAGCTCAGACAGGTCGGCCAGGATCATCAGCGTCACGGCGCCTAGGATGGCGATCCACCCTGCACCGGGCCAATCCACAGGGAGCACAGTCGTTCGGGCCAAATTTGGTTGTTGTCTCAGAATGTAGGCCAGTGAAAAAACTCGAAAATGTCTGGATGGAGCCAAAGTTGATCTTCCTGGGTTCGAGTGTGCGTATCTTGAACCTACTTCCTCTACGATCGCCAAAGTATATCTGGTAGTTGGCGCTCATCTGGCATATTTAGGCCTGAACCACCCAACCAGTCAAATATTTAGGCTTTATACTTTTGATCGCTTGCTTTATACACAAGTCTGACTCGTGTCTGGTTCTTTGGAAATTTTGTGGCGAGCAAAAAAAAAGAAAAAAAACCCCTTAGAAACGCAAAAAAAAAACAAAAAAAAAATTATGGCGCGAACTAAGGACTTGGATCAAACCCGTACGAGGAGAGCAAGTCGTCTGCTTCTCGCGCGGGGGTTGCAGTGACGTCAGAACAACGTCGAGTTCTGATTGGCTTTGGTTGGAAGGATAGGGGGTAGACCTCAATGCTAGATGCCTTGAGGTCTACCCACTATTTTTTTTTTCAATCGGCCAATAAAAGCTCAGCGTTCTGACGTTATCGCAAACCCCTGTGCAAGAAGCAGACGACTTTGCGCTCCGCATTAGGCCCGACATAGGCCCTAGGATTGTCAAGCAAAGCGCTATCTGGGCCGGGATCTTTTACTTTTATAGGGTTGCAAACGGTTGAACCAAAAAAGTCGGAGCATATTACCACACCGCCTGTTAAGCAACCGCCGTTATGATAGTTGCGAAGCAGGTGCCGCTTGCTCAGACGCTGTTGCGATCAAAGGACTGAAACTTTGAGGAAAAAAAAAGCTCGAGTCAAACGAACCTTCAGACGGTCCACTTCAAAATGTCGTCTTTCTCCGCCACAAAAAAACAAACAAAAAACATTTCGTCAGTGCAACGCGACTGCTAACCTGTGCTCTTTAGCGCGCATCTCGCTTTTAATTAGAGCACGAAAAATACAAGACAAAGGTAATAAGTGCCTCAAATCTCGACATGCATACATGACGTGTCAGGGTGGGGTGCCCTGGAATTCAATGAGCCAGTAATGACTCAAAATGGCTGAAGCACGTGAGCTTCCAGCGAGCGTCTACATGGTCGAAAGTATACGCTTCGGTGCAGCGACACTTCCGCCCTTGTTCTTGAAACCATTGTTTCCAGAATTTTATCTTAAACCACAGGAAACTTTTATGCCCTCCAGAAATGTTCGACCAGTCCGCGACAGAGCAGCACAATATCGACCGGTGTTTCTGCTACCGTAAATAATGCCGAGGAAACGAGTTTTATAATATCAACATTCGCCAATAGCACCTGCTTTGCAATGAGCAGCAAAATTTCGGCACACTCGAAGCCTAGTTTATTTATTGGCTCTGCGTGCACCCACCCAGGCTTAGGTGCACGTTGGGAATGCTCTGCATGAAGAAGAGCAATATGACCACGAGCAGCACCAGGCCGGACTTGATGAGCAGCGACCATTTGCGGATCTTGTACTTGTCGCTCAGAGTGCGCAGGTTCTCGCGGAAGTCCATCGACCTGCGGGAACAATCGTGGCATCCTCCGACATATTACCGTAGCCAGAACCTCCTTTTGGATGTGTGTGGACAACTCTACCAAAAAAAAAGGGAGGGCGCGCTAAGCAACAGCTCCTTTACTGCGTTTCATCTTAAGTCCGAGCGGGGCCAAAAAGTTAGTTGCAATTAATCATACCTCGGCAAACCTCACTCACTAGGGCCCTCACTCACCCTCATCTTCACAGGTGAGGTGAGGGTGAGTGAGTTTCTTAACCATGAAAATTCATGAGTGTGAGGGTGAGTGAGGGTGAGTGAGAGCCGTGAGGGCCGTGAGGGCGGTGAGGGCGGTAAGGGGTATGAGGGCGGTGAGGGCGGTAAGGGGTATGAGGGCGGTGAGGGCGGTAAGGGGTATGAGGGCCATGAGTGCGTGAGGGGCGTGAGGGCGGTGAGTGGCGTGAGGGCCTTGAGTGCGTGACCGGTGTGAGGGCGGTGAACGCGTGAGGGGTGTGAGGGCGGTGAGTGCGTGAGTGCGTGAGGGCAGTGAGTGGCATGAGAGGCGTGAGGGCCTTGAGGGCCGTGTGTGCATGAGGTGTGCGAGGGCAATGAGTGCGTGAGGGCAGTGAGTGCGTGAGGGCAGTGAGTGCGTGAGGGCAGTGAGTGCGTCAGGGCAGTGAGTGCGTCAGGGCAGTGAGTGCGTGAGGGCAGTGAGTGCGTGAGGGCAGTGAGTGCGTGAGGGCAGTGAGTGCGTGAGGGCAGTGAGTGCGTGAGGGCAGTGAGTGCGTGAGGGCAGTGAGTGCGTGAGGGCAGTGAGTGCGTGAGGGCAGTGAGTGCGTGAGGGCAGTGAGTGCGTGAGGGCAGTGAGTGCGTGAGGGCAGTGAGTGCGTGAGGGCTGTGAGTGCGTGAGGGCTGTGAGTGCGTCAGGGCTGCGAGTGCGTCAGGGCTGTGAGTGCGTGAGGGCTGTGAGTGCGTGAGGGCTGTGAGTGCGTGAGGGCTGTGAGTGCGTGAGGGCTGTGAGTGCGTGAGGGCTGTGAGTGCGTGAGGGCTGTGAGTGCGTGAGGGCTGTGAGTGCGTGAGGGCTGTGAGTGCGTGAGGGCTGTGAGTGCGTGAGGGCTGTGAGTGCGTGAGGGCTGTGAGTGCGTGAGGGCTGTGAGTGCGTGAGGGCTGTGAGTGCGTGAGGGCTGTGAGTGCGTGAGGGCTGTGACTGCGTGAGGGCTGTGACTGCGTGAGGGCTGTGACTGCGTGAGGGCTGTGACTGCGTGAGGGTAATGAGTGCGTGAGGGTGGTGAGTGCGTGAGGGTGGTGAGTGCGTGAGGGTGGTGAGTGCGTGAGGGCGGTGAGTGCGTGAGGGCGGTGAGTGCGTGAGGGCGGTGAGAGCGGTGAGTCCGTGAGGGTGGTGAGTCCGTGAGGGCGGTGAGTGCGTGAGGGCGGTGAGTGCGTGAGTGCGTGAAGGCGGTGAGTGCGTGAGGCCCCCTTCAGATCGAGCATCTTTCTCAGCAATTTTGGTGTTAATGGCGGATTGTTCTCTAGCTTTCCCTAGATCGACATCAATTGCTGAGATCGGGTCCGGCTCGAAATAAGCAAGCGACTCGGAGCAATTCGAATACGTTTGAAGCGGCTGCATCCAATCATGGATGCAAAAGTTTCATGTAATACCTCTGCCGGTGATGATGACACCGAAAGACTTGGTTCTGGTTTGAAATCGGTCGTTTTTTGGAAATAAACTGTTTCAGAAAGGTGCATTAGTATTCTTAACGAGATTTAAATGCATACAAACACGTTTGTAACGTGTAATTAATTGTGTCTAAATAGTGCAAGAAAAATAAAATTTTATGATGACGATGGCAAATTGCAGCAATTGGTTGCTGCTTGTGATCGCGGGCGGCCCGTGTTGCTGGTGTTGCGACATAAAGTTTCTAGGCGAAATTGCCCCATTTGAAGCTGTCCTCAGTGGCGTGAGAGCGATCAGTGCGTCAGGGGCGTGAGGGGGCGTGAGGGGTGTGAGGGCCGTGAGGGCCGCGAGGGCCGCGAGGGCCGCGAGGGCGGCGAGTGACGCGAGTGACGCGAGGGCGGCGAGTGACGCGAGGGCCGCGAGGGCGGCGAGTGACGCGAGGGCCGCGAGGGCGGCGAGTGACGCGAGGGCCGCGAGGGCGGCGAGTGACGCGAGGGCCGCGAGGGCCGCGAGTGACGCGAGGGCCGCGAGTGACGCGAGGGCCGCGAGTGACGCGAGGGCCGCGAGGGCCGCGAGGGCCGCGAGTGACGCGAGGGCCGCGAGTGACGCGAGGGCCGCGAGTGACGCGAGGGCCGCGAGGGCCGCGAGTGACGCGAGGGCCGCGAGTGACGCGAGGGCCGCGAGTGACGCGAGGGCCGCGAGTGACGCGAGGGCCGCGAGTGACGCGAGGGCCGCGAGGGCCGCGAGGGCCGCGAGGGCCGCGAGTGGCGCGAGGGCCGCGAGTGGCGCGAGGGCCGCGAGTGGCGCGAGGGCCGCGAGTGGCGCGAGGGCCGCGAGTGGCGCGAGGGCCGCGAGGGCCGCGAGTGGCGCGAGGGCCGCGAGTGGCGCGAGGGCCGCGAGTGGCGCGAGGGCCGCGAGTGGCGCGAGGGCCGCGAGTGGCGCGAGGGCCGCGAGTGGCGCGAGGGCCGCGAGTGGCGCGAGGGCCGCGAGTGGCGCGAGGGCCGCGAGTGGCGCGAGGGCCGCGAGTGGCGCGAGGGCCGCGAGTGGCGCGAGGGCCGCGAGTGGCGCGAGGGCCGCGAGTGGCGCGAGGGCCGCGAGTGGCGCGAGGGCCGCGAGTGGCGCGAGGGCCGCGAGTGGCGCGAGGGCCGCGAGTGGCGCGAGGGCCGCGAGTGGCGCGAGTGGCGCGAGTGGCGCGAGTGGCGCGAGGGCGGTGAGTGGCGCGAGGGCGGTGAGTGGCGCGAGGGCGGTGAGTGGCGCGAGGGCGGTGAGTGGCGCGAGGGCGGTGAGTGGCGCGAGGGCGGTGAGTGGCGCGAGGGCGGTGAGTGGCGCGAGGGCGGTGAGTGGCGCGAGGGCGGTGAGTGGCGTGAGGGCGGTGAGTGGCGTGAGGGCGGTGAGTGGCGTGAGGGCCATGAGTGAGTGAGGGCCATGAGTGAGTGAGGGCCATGAGTGAGTGAGGGCCATGAGTGAGTGAGGGCCATGAGTGAGTGAGGGCGGTGAGGGCCGTGAGGGCCGTGAGGCCGATGAGTGCGTGAGGGCCGTGAGGTTCAGTGAGGGTGAGTGAAGGGCTGAAGGTGAGTGTGACTGTGAGGGGGAGGGTGAGTGAGGGGCTGAAGGTTAGTGTAGCTGTGACGGTGAGGGTGAGTGAGGGGCTTAGGTGAGTGTGGCTGTGAGGGTGAGGGAGGGCGACCTAAAATGCCGACCTCTGCAATTAATAAACAAAAAAGCAACGACTAAGAACGCGTTATCACATAGTTAGAACCGGAGACGACGGAGACAAGGGAACAAAAAAACAACACGTCTCAAAGCGGTTTGAGACGTGTTCTGCTCCGGTCCCCTTATTTCAGTCGTCTCTGGTTTTAACTGTGACACTTAAAGGAAACTTCGCTTCATTTTTTTAAACACAAAAGAAATGCAGTTTAGACGACCTAGGTCTGTCTAAATATTTCTTAAAAGGTCCGGCAAACTTTTGAATGCGCGAAATTGCTGAAATTGGCTGACTCTAGCGGGCAAATTGAGGTGCAATGAGAAGCGCGGTCAAGACTACGTTGTTGGCGTAGCCAACATTGAGCTAAACATCAACATTGCTTTGCTTTGTTTGTTTTGTTTTTACTTCTCCGGAGAAGCGTAAGAGGTGACGCCAGCAGCGTCCCCTCTCGGCGCTCAGAGGTGTCCACGTGAGTGGCGTAACGCGTCTCTCAGCCTTGAGAGCCGTCGGACCGTCTCGCCGTTACCGCCGTGTGCCGCGTCGGAACCGCCGTCGTCGTCTCGCCGTTTGTGATTTTTGCCTCTTGGTGTTTCGTTCACACTGCGTGCGCAGACTGATCCCGCAGTTGCACAGATGTCGCCGGATATTGTAGACACCGAAACACGGTGAAGACTGCGGTGCAGACGTCACCTGCGCCTTGCACACGCTCGCCCCCACGGTGACCCGCCCCGATCCCGCCCGCCGTCGCGTAGAGGATCAGGTGACCGGTTGTACCACGTGTTAGCCATGTTTTTTGACGGCCCGAGGCCAATGTTGCCCGACGAAGCCAAAGTTTTAATTTCGGTTTCTGCTCATGCTTAAAGCAAGATTTCACAACATATATCGAATTGTTCTGCTAATCAAACCACACAGTGTGTATAGTCGGTGACAGGTCAAGAACGAAGTGGAAGCTCCTTCCACCTCTTTCCACTTTAGCAGAGCGAACGGTGGAGAGGAAGCAACCTCCTCTCCAGTTATCGCTCTGCTCAAGTGCAAAGAGCTGGGAGGAGCCTCCACTTCTTTCTTGACCTGTCACCGACTATAGCACAAGTGTGTTTTAACGAGAAATCACTACCTCAAAATTGTTGAAATAGTGCGGATTTATACTTCAAACCACCTGACCTGTTTTCATATAAAAACAATAACATCAATAGCGACATCACGACGCAATTTTTGCGCTTTATTGGATTATTTGGCGAGCTTAAAAGAGAAAAATGCAGTGATCTAGCGCTTTCCGAGAGGTCTGATTGCCCCTCTGGCTCTTAACATCGATATAGTGCTCGAACTTAAGTTAAAGCAGAGTATAAATAACAAGGCCGTAGAGCTGGAGTTTCTACGTCACCTTCGGAGGCCATCTGGACACGAGTGCTGCGTTAGTGTGCAGCGTATACTCGGTTTTAGTCAATGAACACTAGTCCCAGAAGAACGCTTACTCAGACCTTGTGGCCAGTCTATGCCTCGCAGTGGACTACGGTAGGGTATAAATCTACAAGAACTACGGCCTTGGAGATTTGTGCAAGAAACAATTGGCTTCCACCTGAGATGAAGCACATGTTATCTAAGAACTGTTGCATCAAAGGAACCGTTTGCAGTTGGGTTAAATAAAACAAATGAAAAGGACAGCAACAAGATTAACACTATAAAACAGTACCACTTGTGACGAGAAACGGATGATCAGCCAGCCGATCGCAAGATGGCGCTTTTAACCACAATGTTTGGAAAGTTAAAATTAATGGCTAGGTGGCGCAAGACGCCGCCCTATTAAGTGTTCAGCCGCATTTTTTTTTCATCCATGGATTCAACTGGCAGGTTTCCCACCTGACGTAGTGCGACTTCTTGCTCTGCTGCCGTACCAGCTTGCGGACCTTCTTGGAGAGGATGTCTTTGACGTGGCTCTCGTCTCTCGAGTACTCGGCCAGTGAGTGTACCGCCTTTCGCCACACGTCGATCTCGTGCTCGATCTCTGCAAGTCGCAAACAGCGCCCTCGGGCATTCAGGCACAGTTCTTCGATAAAGTGTATAAACAGCGACGCCTTATTGCAACCTCCGCAGTAGGTGAAATATTAAGATTCGGGCGATAAACAGGATGCACCTTCATCTCGACAAATTCGATGCAAGTAACTGTATTCAGTTTTTTTTGTAAACTTTCTTACTTTAAGAGAGTTAAACTTTTGCAGCCGGAAAATAACAAAAGCTGAAAACTTGGGATCTGAAATTTAACATAGATTTCGGTATAACGACAAAAACAAATGGACGAGGTCTCAAACTTGGCTTATTTGATAAAACATGCTAGAAACACATGCAGTTCTAAAAAAAGAAGGATAGAGGACAACACGCTTCACTTCTACAGAAGCCCAGGGGAGGGAAGTTTTTGACTCTCATGGTATAAAGTAATCAGAAGTCCGTGACGGATTCACTGAAACGAGGACTCGAGTGGTAAACAAAGACGTGCGAAACGAAAACTATTAAGATGATATTCACAGTAAAAGATAGTTTTATTGTCGTTTGACTAATCTTAACTATAGGGTTACGGGAATAAACAGTGCTCCTTTGTGCAAATTAACAGAACTTCGAATAGCCGTTCATGAACTTCAAATCTACTCTGCCTTGAACCCACAAACCTGAAATTGGCTTTGCCGCATACAGGTAACCTCTGCGGGAAAGCTCCCCTTAGCTTATTAAGGGAGCGGTGCAACGATTTCGATGCTTTGCTTCAATAATTTGGAAGTTGGTGTCTCGACCTTCCTGAAGTAAAAAAAAAAACACAAAAAAAACAAGAAACTGCTATTGCCTGCATATCCTAGTTTTTATTTTAAAAATTGACAAAGATTGAGGTTTTTAGGCACCTCAACTCAATCACCATCTTCCGAGTCAATTGTGCTGTGAGGTGAATGCGGGACGCGCGGGGTTTCCGGTGAAGCGCTTTCTGTATAGTCGGTGACAGGTCAAGAACGAAGTGCAACCTCCTCCCACCCCTTTCCACTTCAGCGGAGTGAACGCTGGAGAAAAGGCGACCTTCTCTGTACCGTTCACTCCGCTGAAGTGGAAAGGGGTGGGAGGAGCTTCCACTTCGTTCTTGACCTGTCACTGCCTATAGACCGTTCCATTAGGGTCATAGCGGAGAGGGTAAAAGAGAAAAAAATGCACTCCCCCTCTCACCCTGTATGTCGACCGCTCCGCCCAGTGAGCTGCAGCTAGCGCCCGGCTGGCATGCAAACTCTGTTTAAAATCGCGTCATTTTGGAACTTTCAATCGCAGATGCGCAGATTTTGGTATGCCAGTTATCGTGTAATACTATGCTAGACAAAAAGACTCACAGGGTTCAATTGCGCTGTTACCTGCGTGCAAATAAAAAACAAAAATAGGGAAAACTGTGTCAGATTGGCCGGTCTCTTTGGCGAAAAAAAAAATCCGGTTGCTGTACTTTTTTTTACTATACAAAAGTTCGTACTGGTGTAGGCCTTTAGCGACCATGAGTGGAAGTCTGAAATTATAAATAAAACGTGCTCTCCTGCCGGAATACAAGCAGTAGTTGAGGATAGTACTGCCGGCTGACTCAACTGCTATTTAAGTAACGGAAAAAAGATATGCTAGTTGATCATTTAGCAAAATAGAACAACGGAGAGCTATAGGCTGACTTTGGAGTAGTCACAACTATTCTAAGAACGCCAACCACTTCACAACGGCAGCCACGAGCGAGAGTTCGATGTTCGGTAGAGCCCGCCGATACAGCCCAAAGATGGAGAACGGCAACCTCCCGGTTTGGCGTCTGCTAGCGAAGTCGGGCGCGTGCCCCCTCTCTCGTTTTACCCCGCCGAACCCCCTGAACTTCCCGGATGTGTGGAGAGGGCGCTGCGGTCGAACAAAATGGTGCCGCCCAGAGAGCGCTAAATGGAATGGTTTATGAAGCGAGCTGCGAGAACTCACCGGCTCGCTACCACGTGACCACGTGCTATCGCGCAGCGCGATCAACATGGCAAAAGGAGAAAAGTGCCAACGTCCGGGTCCGGCCATCCTCGTCCGGCTCCGCCCCCGTCCCCCTTCGCTTGTGGCGACTGGTCGCGGTAGCAGATACTATATAGAGCTGACGTTTTTTTTGACCTCGGATAGATGGCGCCACTAAAACTCAACACAATAAAAGTTTTGTCGATGATATCTGTTTTTTGATGCATTTGTAGCGGCAGCTATCGGCAGCGAACCAGCGCTTGAACGGCGCAAAGCTCACGGGACAGGCACGAGCGAAGGACACGAGGTGCCTGGACCACGAGGTGCACGGAATCTGGAATTCGCCGAGGGGCCCCTCGTTGAGCTAGTCGAAAAGGACAGTGTAAAATATTGTAAATAAACATGTAGAGTGTGATTTACCGAGTCTCCACTTCTACATACTGGTGACCTCGGACCGAGCAACCCCCGACCACGCCCAGCTACGCTGCCCTGGAGCCCTGGTTCTTTGGGCGAGTCCAGCTTTGTGCCCCCGTCATGAGCCTCGGAGACGATGGCGCCTCTGCCGGAGCTCCGGCGACACTAGGGGCGACGACTCTCAACATCAAGTTCCCAGAATTCTGGTCGTTCGATTCCGAGCTGTGGTTCCTGACCGCGGAATCGCCAGAAGAGCAGGATCACCTCATCTTTGACTAAATTTGACTACGTCGTCGCGGCCCTCCCGCAGTCCACCGCATCCGTGGTTCGCGACATTCTGCGTTCTCCGCCCACAGATCAGCCCTACGAGACTCTACGGAAAGAGCTGATTCGTCGCTCCACAGAGTCTGAGCAACGGCGTCTCCAGCAGCTGTTGACTGCGGAGAAGCTGGGAGACCGCAAACTTACAGAATTATTGTGACGCATGAAGCACCTCCTTGGAGACAAAGCCACGACGTTGGACACATCCATATTTAAAGAGCTTTTTCTCCAACGCCTACCAAGCCAAGTCCGGAAGATTTTGAGTACATCTGCCACCGACTCAATCTCCACGCTTGCTCGTATGGCCGACAAAATCATGGACGTAGGCTCCCCTGCCATCTCAGCGGTGCGTGAAGAGACATCCTCAACGCCGCGCACTACTGTGACCGACATGGGATCCCAGCTCGCTCGAGTCCTCAGCTTCAACGATCACATAGAGGCCAGGATGAGCGAGCTCAGTCATGAGATTCGTAACCTCCAATCACGACCTTCCCGATCCTTGATCGTCAATCAACGAGCTAACACTGCCCGGCGCCGCAGTGAATCAAGAGCTGGGTTTCCCTTCCAAGAGTATGCTCGTACCACCAGAGATACGGATCCCAAGCCAGAGCATGCCGCCCACCGTGTAACTACTCGGGAAACAACATGGGCACCCGCTGAAGGCCGCCAGCGTCGAAAGCCGAACTTCAGGCCGGCTTTTCTACGTCACGGAACGCAACACAAAGGTCCGCTTCCTGGTGGATACTGGGGCTGAGGTAAGCGTGGTACCTCCTACGCTGGAGGACCGCCGTTGCCGCCAAGAGTCCCCACCGCTCCAGGCTGTCAACGGATCTCCGATATAAGAGTACGGCGAAAGGTCCCCGATGTTGGACATCGGACTCCGCCGGATATTCCGTTGGATTTTTATCATCGCGGATGTTCGGCAGGCGATCATAGGACCAGACTTTCTGCGGCGATTCGCACTGACCATGGACCTGAGGAGAAATCAACTCCTTGACACCGAGACGCAATTAAGCGTCCAAGTTATCGTGTCGAAGTCCCCTCCTCTTAGACTTGCTCTTCCATGAACAGAAATGAGTTCTCCTTGGCAAACTATCGCCGATGAATTTCCTGCCGTGTTTCGCCCACCTGCTCCCGACCAAGCCATCCGATACACCGTGACCAATCACATCGTGACGAAAGGGGCCCCGGTTTTTGCCAGACAACGTCGACACGCTCCCGACTGCCTCAAGACAGCCAAGAACGAATTCCAACACATGCATGAACTTGGTTTTATCAGGCCATCTTCAAGTCCCTGGTCTTCGGCACTTCACATGGCCCCGAAGAAAACCGGGGACTGGCGCCCCTGTGGGGACTACCGGTCATTAAACAAGTGTACTCTGCCCGACCATTACCCCATCCCTCATATTCAGGACTTCGGTGGCATTTCACAGGGCGCGAAGGTTTTCAACAAGGTGGACCTCGTGAAGGCATTCTACCAGATCCCAATAGAACCGGCAGACATCCCCAAGACGGCTGTCATCACACCGTTTGGATTGTACGAGTTCTTGCGAATGCCCTTTGGACTCCGCAACGCTGCGCAAACCTTTCAACGGTTCGTCGACACAGTCCTCCGAGGTTTGTCATTCACCTTCGCGTATATCGACGATCTCCTTGTATTCAGCAACAATCCGGAAGAGCACGCCGAACATCTACGACAACTCTTCTCGCGCTTCCAAGAATACGGACTTGTCGTCAATCCGACCAAGCGTGAATTCGGCGTCAACGAACTTAAATTTCTAGGCCATCACGTTGCTAGCCGTCGAATGCAGCCATTACCCGCGAAAGTCGAAGTCATCCGAAGCTTTCCACAACCCCCGACGGCGAGGAAACTTTGGCAATTTCTCGGACTCGTGAATTTCTATCGACGGTTTATACCCCGGTGCGCCCAAGTTGGCGAGCCCCTCTACGACCTACCGCCGGCCACCAGAGTAATGGCAGCGCCACTCTATTGGACGCTAACCGCCAACCAAGCTTTTGAGAGAGTGAAAAATATCATTGCCAACGTCACCCTTCTCAGCCACCCCAAGAGAGACGCACCTCTCTCCATCATGGTCGACGCCTCGGATGGAGCTGTTGGAGCGGTTTTACAACAAGACGGAAACAAGTGGCAACCACTTTCCTTCTCTTCGAAGTAGCTGACTCCGACAGAACGGCGATACAGCACCTTTGGACGTGAGCTGCTGGCAATATACCTTGCCATCAAGGACTTTCGCCACTGCGTGGAAGGTCGAAGCTTCTTTGTCTTGACAGACCATAAGCCGTTGACCTACGCGCTAGCCACCAACATCACGGCACACACTCCGCGTGAAATACGGCAGCTGGCATATATTTCGGAATTCACCACCGACATCGGCTTCATTAAGGGCACGGATAACGCCGCACCTGACGCACTCCCCAGAGTTGGGGTCAATTTCTGCTCCACGGAACGACCTGCAGTTCCTTACGAACAGCTGGCGGGGGCACAAAGAGGCGACCTCGAACTACAACGCCTACGGACAACGTCAACGGCATTAGTCTTTGAAGACATACGCATGCCCGACTGTGACGACACAGTTGCATGCAAAGTTTCGACAGGTCGTCCCCGCCCCTTCGTACCAGCAGAATTGCGACGAGCAGTTTTTGACTGCCTGCAATCCTTGTCCCACCCCAGGATACGAGCAACCCAGAAACTGATAGTTTCGCGGTTTATATGGCCTCGTATCAACGTTGGCGTGAAGTCCTGGGCCAAAACTATCGTCCAGTGCCAACGCTCGAAAGTTCACCGGCACACCAAGGCGCCCTTGGGAACTTTTAGCACACCGGAAAATCGCTTTGCCCACATTCATGTTGATATCGTGGGACCACTTCCTCCATCACAAGAAAACCGTTATCTTCTGACGTGCGTCGATCGCTCCACGCGGTGACCCGAAGTGGCACCAATGAAAAACATCACCGCAACAACCGTAGCGCGCACACTGATTGAAATGTGGATTAGTCGCTTTGGTGTCCCACAGACAATTACAACGGACAAAGGACGTCAGTTCGAAGCGACTTTATTTCGAACTCTCTCCCACTTCCTTGGAGTCTAACACATTCATACGACGTCCTACCATCCAATCTCCAACGGCATGGTAGAGCGTTTTCATCGTCAGTTGAAAGCCTCCATCAAAGCACAAACCAACTGCTCGGCTTGGACAGAGTCTCTTCCGCTTGTCTTGTTGAGAATCAGAACAGCCTTCAAATCGGACATTAATTGCAGTGCAGCTGAACTCGTTTACGGCACGTCACTCCGCTTGCCTGGTGAATTTTTTTCTTTCTCAGCGAACATTACACAGGAAACAGCAGAAAACTACGTCCAGCGGCTGCGACTACTAAGTAGTCGCAGCCACTGGACGTAATATAAATAATAAATAAGTATGTAGCTCCGTAAATCACACTCTACATATTTATTTACAATATTTTACATTGTCCTTTTCCACTAGCTCATGGAGGGGCCCTTCGCCGAATCCCACATTCCATGCACCTCGTGGTCCAGGCACCTCGTGTCCTTAGCTCGTGCCTGTCCCGTGAGCTTGGCGCCGTTCAAGCGCTGGTTCGCTGCCGATAGCTGCCGCTACACATTTATATTTATGTTGGAACGACAAGATTTATAGAAGAATTATCTTTTATCGAGCAGGTATTTGCACAACTTCCTATCTTTTTTACAAATCGCCCATTGACGTCATGCCGCGTGGTTCTCATGGTCGCCACTCGCGGCTGCAGGCCGGGAAATATTCTCATTTTCGCCTCGTGATTACGCGGCAGAATCGAAACATTTGGAAGGAAGGAGATGTGTTTTCTTTCCTTTGTGACAAGATAAGCAATTTTAGAAGTAGAAGATTCGAATTCTTTCAACGTTAAAATCGTTGCACAGCTCCTTTAAGCGAAATTCACTGACGACGCCATTTCAGAAAGGCACAAAACACGATGCGCGTAAAACGCTGAAGAAATTCTCTTAAACAAAGACGAACCTTTGGGCAAGATTATTTAATTCTAGTACATATGTATGAAACTAATATCCGTATAGTAAGGTGCGTTACTTAAGTATCAAATTTCACGACTTTATAAAGCTTATATTTGATGTTTAGGAATTGCTTTTTCTGCAGCTGTTGCCACTTCTGAAGTAGGTAATTGCAACTATTTTATTTGCACATCATTACTAAATCCCTAAATTATGCTTCAAGCACGCCAAAAAAAAAACACCAAAATCAAACCGCCTCAAGTCTTGTCTGGATTCAGTTTTGCCTATTTCTTCTGGGGGATGCAAGTGTCGTTCTTCGCTCTGCGGCACTTTACTTCGTTCACCCCTAAACTGGCAACGCGGTGGGAAACACGCGTAAAACGCCTCCCTTTCATTACCCGACTCCGCTGTCTGCGCGTGGGTATGGGCGGGAGCGTGATCAAGGGGTAAAAGACAAACGTCTGACTGGACCGACGAGTACGTGCCTTCTAGCGCACCATCCAAGAGGTGGGGATCGGAACATAGGGATGACGCATACAACATCGTCTCAAGAGAACCTCCCACTGCCTTCACATGCGTGATACAAGGACCTGCGCTTTGTCCCTTGTACCATGTCGTTTCTCTGCACTTCATCGTAACACAGACACATCTTCTCCGGATGAGCATCGTAGCAATGTGGGGTCTGGTATCACGACTGCGTGACGCCCGTTGAAGATCCTGGGACTGGCAAACTTTGGTATAGTTGAGACTCAAGACGCGCATTGAGGTTGACTTACTTCCGGCTTCCTACACGTACACATCACAATTACTATTATTAACGCATCCGCGATTGGCGCATAGACCGACAAAGACTTGTTCCTGCTAGTCTTTTGTTTTGTTCCTCCGCGTTACAGTGTGGAGAGTTGGGTTCTGCCATAGCCTCCTCTATACGGAGAAAGCCTGGCACATCGACGACGGAGCCATAGAGCGCGCGGCCGCAGGAAAAAGGAGAGGAGGAGCGCGCCGAACGGTGACCAATATGGTAGCGCAGAGCAGAAAGGGCACACCTTGACAGCGAGCGCATGGGTCATGAGCGGCCGCTCCCCGAACCACGCTTGTTTTTGTGTTTTCGTCACCGTTGTTTTCGTACTCCGGGAGAAACGGGCGCGGCGATTCGAAAGGGCGCAGGGAGAAACGGGAAAGGGTGGACGTTGAGTTTCTCCTCTCCACGATAGCGACAAGAAAAGAGAGAGAGAAAAAAAATTGTTTCTGCGTTTGGCCGCTCGCTCTTTTGTGGCGCTAGCGGATAAGGTTCTCTCCGCTCCCGTTTCTCCGCCCCTCCTTTCCCATTTACGGCGGCCGTCTTTTCACGCGACGCGCCAGGCTTTCTCCGTATAGAGGAGGCTATGGTTCTGCTCACCCACGGCTTCGGTGGTGTTAAGGCGGAGCGTTCTCGGATCCCGGAAGTAAAAGCGCAGGAAGGCGAAGGCTCCCATGGCGCAGAGGATGATGCCGGGCAGCATGTGGAGCGTGAAGCCTGTGAAGTTGATACCCTGTAAAGACACGAGGTATCATTGGAAACGGTGTCGACTTCCGCCAGTCATCGACTTCCATATCAGCTTAAGCAAATCATGGGGTGATTGTCAGTCATTCCTATTTGGCCGGCTTACGAGCGTCCTTGCGACGTTAGCGCTTCCAGAGCGCTACAGAAGATTTGGTTGAATAAAATGTCTGTGCCCTTCAAATGACCAACATTAGACATACCAGTGTCAGCCACAATATACAATGCAGTTTTCTTGAGGTGACGTATGTGGTGGTGTTAAGCAGATTTTCACCAAAGGAAACTTATTTTTATCGAAAGAATGAAATAAAGCTTTATTTATTTCTCACTTAAAAGCTATGTCGGCCTTGCCGAAGCAAATGCAGCACTGCCACCTGAAACTGCCTCATCCAAAAGGTCACCGTGCTTGAGAGCTATGTACTTTGACTTTAGTCAGGCTCCCACAAAGTTGCGGCTTGCATGCTCCGGGGTTCTGTTTCTACCATAGCATTTAGTGCTACGACAGCCATGTTCGGATTTTTTCTGTGCTCATCCTTTATTTTTTCTCCACCAAAACGTCGGAAAATCGATCGATTGCGCTCTTGGTAAGATGGCCCCTGTCCTGTCATTGTATTCAGCCGTTCCGGCTAAGTGGCCACATGTCAGTGATAGACTGAACTCTTCACATTCACAACCATGACAGTGTGACACCACTGTGCGGGCCCAAAGGAGTTTCTATCAGGCATAAACACAAGAGCCAGACTGTCTTACACTGTCTTACTACTGCAGGCACACCCAACTCTTGTTTGCTGTTCCTAAGAAGGAGGCGCCATAACCACTTTGTCAGCTTCATGATTGACTTGCGTAGGTGTACTCTTAATTCAGTGGAAGCTACATCATCTTCCGTTGTGGAGACACCATAAACACGACGAGACCACCGTATGTTTTTACGCGACACCAATTGTCTTTAGTTTTATGGCGGTGGTGAACGTGCGGGCATTCAGTTGTGAGAGGGGCTTCCGTCATACGGACCGTACGTTTTAGCAAGTGGTTCTACATAAAGCCTAATATATCTGTATTAGGCGTGTTAAGAAAAAACTGGCTAGATGGCTCAATTCGCCACCCATTCATACACTGTGGCGTGGTATTTATCGCACAAAGTGAGCTGCATTCAGGAGACAAGAGTTGGGGAAGCCGCTTACCAGTGCCTTGACCCTGTGGTTCGAGATTATGATGACGTTGGGCGGATCTCCAACGGGCGTGGCGGCGCCCCCGATGTTGGAGTAGAGCACCAGAATGATGAGCACTTGCTTAGGGTCCAGACCCATCACCTCGCACAGCCTGCGTACCACCGACGCCGCTGGGTAGTCAGTCTCGCATGGGGACGCAGGAACGTTATTCTGGGTGCTCGCTGTCTGACCCTCATCAAGGCCTTTGGCCTTGACGAAGGGCAGGTTCACTGGCACGTTCACTGGCCGTTGGCAGTCAGTGAATGGGCCAGACCCATCAAACAGCGAACACCGTTTTGCCAACTACGTCTCACTCAACGTGAAACCGGGTAATTATTTTGCAAGACGGCTAGTGTTGGATAAATTAACAACGTCCATGATACGCATTATGAGTACTCGGACTGTCGAGTGTATGTTGTATCTGATTAGTTGGTGTTTTTATTGGCAAATGTTAGTGAAAGCAAAAAAAGGAAACGTTTTCCCTTATCTTGTTAATTTGCAAGTATCCACATCCCTCCAGCACGCCTGGGACTCCGAAGTGAAGGAAGTGGGTTTTACACCTTCACTATTTTCTGAAGTAAACTACGGCTTTTAAGGGCAAAATATTAGTTCAGCACGTAACGTTAAATTCGGAGGAAAGTAATCAGAATCATAAGGATTATTCCAGAACGCCTACCGTCAAGCTGCCCCTGCTTTAGCCTTCTGCACTTCTAGTAGTTATTACGGCGTAAGCGAAATATGGCATAGTTGGTGGATTGATTAGCGGAATCAATGAAACGGTAACCGGTTGGCGGCCTTGCAACTGATTCTCCGGCTATGAAACCCGATGGCGGACCTTTTCTGTCGATTTTTGAGTTAGGAGATTAGAGCCACCACACCGCAGCTCTATTTTAAAGCTTGGCTGGCTGCTGACACGCTTACTTGATAGTGACTGGCGTCATGAGAAGGATGGTGGTGACGTTGTCCAGAAACGCGGAGATCACTGCCGCGAAGAGGCACAGCATGCTGATCATGGGCCACACACGGCCTCGGGACAGTCGGTACGCCTGCGGAGCAAGCGCGTCATTTATTCTGCGCAGTGAATATACCCAGTGTCGGGATCGAGCCAATATAGTCCCTAAAAGACAAAAATCTGCGCGTTACGTTATTGTTAGTGGAAGCCTGACTTAGCCCCAATTGGCAAACACGCTGGAGCTCCACGAGAGTATCCGCGGCAGCCTTGACGTCACCTCAGATCCCGCGCGTTATGAGGCGCTGTGTATATTCACTAGTGCGGGCGGTCTTTTTATACTTAGGCTAGGTGGCGCAAGCTACCGCCCGTTACTAAGGGTATAGCCATTAACATCTATCTATCCATCCATCCATTAAGAAGAAAAAAACGCGTCTTGTTTTTTAACGTGGTATTGGTCAGGGGCGCTTCCTAAGGGCGGGGGGTTTCGCTGTACTGGGACGAGCCTGTGCCCGCTTGGATCATCGAATGCAAGCGGCTACCCCGATTTCTGGCGTATACCAGTCGACTGCTTCGTACTGGGAAGAGGAGATATAAATATAAACCATACAAAACCACACTTTGGCAGTAGAAATCGGCCAGACTGAACTCTGCTGGATAGGCTTTCGCAAACACGGAAGGCATATGAGCTTATACCTTGGCTCATCCTGGGGTAGAGTACAGCCAGAGCTACACACCGCCATGTCCAAAGTCGAGCAATTCAGAAATCACGTGGCAAGTGTCTCCGATAGGCGCACCAAAGCGACACACTGATGCGCATATCTGAGCAATAAGTCGTGTGGTTCTTAAGCGACTGGTGAGTGGTCCTGAAGTACCGCTGTTTCGGCTGTAGTGCATCAGGGGGAGACGAAATATGGCAGCGGGTGAGGTCTTAGCAATGTTGGCGGTAATGCGCGTTGCGAGTCAGTTACCAGTTTACGCGGTACTTGTTTCGGTAAAGTAGTAACGTGCTCGTTACTTTTTCAAAACATAGTGAACGACGTACTTGCGTTAGGTACTTATTACGAGTAGCAAGTGACGTAGTTACTTTATTGGCTACATCTTCCCGAAACTTAAAACATGACTCAGTTTTTTTTGTTTTCGTGTTTCTAGGCACCACGTCATGTTAATTCCTGCTCTACTTCCACGTACCTTCAAAATGTAGTCCCGTTTCTTCGCGCAAACATTCCTATTTTAGAAAAACTAAACTCCCACTATCGTTGCACCTGTGTCGAAAAAACGGTGTCACACACAACGGCAGGCAGGGTAGATAGATAGATAGACACCATCCACGTGTAACGCAGAAATAACCGCTACTTTTTATCGGTGACACTTTGCTTTTATTTAGAGGTAATGTAGGTCGGTAATGGGCACATTTTGTATGCAAGTAATGAGAATGTACGTAGGTATTTCGTTTCTTTTTCTTAGTAACGCTTACAACACGGGTTCCTAGCGTCATCAATGTCGCCGCTGCATTACTCATAACAAAGAACGTTGTTCTCTCCGCCAGACGTGCGTTACCAAGACTGCCGCGTAGTCGAAGAATCCGGTCTCGCAGAGGATTCCCACCAGGACCATCATGCCGAAGAGAAGGCAGAGCGTCTCCACGTCGAGCCAGGAAACTACCCGCTCCAAGCTCGGACGCTGTGGGGGAAGCACATGTTCGTGATGTCACCAAGAAACCCTAGGCACGGTGTCGCCGAAACACTCTGGTATAAGATTCATTCATCCACGTAGACGTAGCTCGAAATAGGAGTTTTTGCTGGAAATCGACATTGCTTTCCGATTTTTATTTCTTGTGTGCATGTTGATATCTATGTTTCCTGGCGTAAGGCATTCTTCTAAAGTTGTTTTGCTGTATTCAGAAGTGCTTGTTAAAACTATCTGTGCGTAGTTCTTGTATTTGTATTCTTCCCTGATGAGCGAGATTTATTGTTCAGTACGACTGATATAAAATGTGCCTTTTGCTAAAAACAAAAGTGACGTATGACCTCGTTGCGCATCGCGCCTTTAGTTTTTTGACCACCACTTAATGAATCGGGAATTTAGAAAAAAAAGTAAAGCTAAATTCTTCTTTAATAGCAAAACATTTAAATTTTACTATTCTATCACTGAGAGAATATCACGGTTCTTAATAAATGCCCATAAAATATGTTTCCTATTGTCCTTGCCTTCCCAATCTGCCTGAGAAAATTTGTCAGAATAAAATAAAAAAAAATTGAAAATAATGACATAAATATGTAGACTCGGGATTCCTTTGCTGATTAGGTTTCGAACCGCCGGATTGTTTTCTTATCCTACCTGTCGCCGCGCCAAAAAGCAAGAGAAATTCTTCCTGCTATTTTTTTTTGTCGAAATCGCTTAAACGCTTTCCGTTATATTTTACCGCCGTTTCTGGGTAAACGCATCAAAGCCAAGCGCAAATACAGCAGGAAGAAAAACGCGGAGCGGAGACCGAGCACACCAAGAAGGGGTGCTGACTTGCCTCGCCAACGATGGACAGGAACGCCACCGCCAGCGTTGCTCCGATCAGAGCTGCCAGGGTCCGGTGAACGAGCTTGGGACAAAAAGAGCCAGAACGTTCCGGTTAGCCGTCTTGACCAAACGACAAAAAAGTTCATTGAACCACGTGGCGAAAACAAGGCTCGAATAGGGCTAGCCGACAGCTCAAATATGTATGCCAGCGTTGAGTTAGAATATTGATTTTGTTGTTGTATAGCTCTACTATCGCTTCCAGTTTTCATCCCTCTCGCGTCTCTAGGCGACGAGGTGACTTCAGATGTTGGGATGATGCATAAAATTTGTATAATTATCATAGCCACTTATGGAATCTCCAAAGTGCCAGTGTGTATCTGTTCCGCATACTCGGAGCACGCCAATTACGTGGGCATTGCAGAAGGTGATGTAGTGCTGAATTGCGCAGCGGAATTAAAACCTAACGCAGCACACATGCAACGTTGCCGGTTATAAACGCCGCGCACAAGGGAAATCAATCTCACCTCAAATCCAATGAGGATGTAAAGCACGCCCAAGACGACGAAGGCCAGCGGGATGCTGATTCCAAACTCCTCCTGCTTCGGGGTTACCTGCACCTGCATCGAGTAGTTGGAGCCCGGTGGACCCTCCACTTCGATTAGGAGACGACATCTCCTGTCCCTGTAGAAAAAAAAAAGATGCTGGTTAAACAGGAGAAGGCGTTACCTCAGTCGGAGGACCCGTTTCAAGTGGGCAGCCATTGGCGAATGGGTGTAGAAGGCATATACGTTTGAACATCGGGTTCTTAGGTGCAAGGCAAAAATAATTAAATAACATTGATTCATTCCCAGGTTTGACGCCGTTCAATGAAGACGTTTCTGGAGTCCAAAGCCAAGCTTGAACACGCTAGGATACCTGAAATATCTTATATCACTTCCTTAGTCTACCGAGAGGGGCTGGTCTTAGCGCAGGTAAAAGCGCCTACTGTCGCCTGAGTTTTGGTTACTCGGCAATAAGAAAACAGGTCTTTGGGAAGGCCGACCGTGAAGATAAGAGCGAATGTCCCATTCTAGAATGTAGAAAGCATCTGGGAATGCAATATGTCAACATAGTATCGCTTTGGAGCTGGTAAATATATTAACAGCGGGTATTCTGAGAGGGCCCCGACAACCTAGGGTTGTGGTCTTGAAGAATTATTGCTCAGGGTTAAATTCGATCGCCATGGCTTTTGTGGCAAGGCCAGTTACTGCTTTATCCGGCCTGCGTGCCATAGAATCCGGTAAAGAAGGAATCCAAGCAGGTCAATGAATACCTGAATTCGTGCAGATTGATGACCTCCTGGACCACGGTATCAGTGAGCGCCTTCGCTGCGTCAGCGGGTGCGGTGGGAGCCCGGAAGAGTTCCTTGAGGATGACCAGGTCTCCCGACGTCTCGTTAGATAAGCCGACAAGGGTGACTCTCGTGAACACGTTGGTGATGTTGGCGAGTGGTCTGGAGAGGAACGGCCCCTTTATGCTGACGTGGACAGGTTCCGAATTGTTGCCAAGCTTCACCACTGCCAGCGTAGGACTAACGAGTCAAGAACTGTATTCGGTACGCAGACGTGACATTGTATATTCACAAACAAAAGAAGGTATCAAATCACCTGTCTACTGTGCCTCGGGCATTTTAATGCAGCTTGCTCAGACAAAGCGCAAGCGTGATAAACTACATAGGCATGTATCACATTCATTGGATACTTTCGCGTCGCTTTAAGTATATACAGTATATAAGTATATATAAAAAAAAACAAAAAAAACATTGTCACTAGGACAATAATTAATGACGTTTACAATTCTCTGTAATGCTGAATTGGAGCGCAGCTCTTGAGAAGGAGGAGAGGAGGCTACGGAGGGGGGTATGCCCCTCCTACCCCTCCGTACCAACACCTCCTAGACTAGGAAGGCCTCAGCGCTTGCGAGTCGGAAAGCAAAGATGGCGGACAGTCGAGGCCATGGCCTTTGCGGCGGGCGGCGGTGTCCGGCGACGCTCCCGTCGGCGAATTTCGTGCGCCCAGTGGTTGCCTAGCAACGGTGGCGGTGGTGGCGTGCGGAGCGCCGCCAACCCGCTGACTGCGCATGCGTGGCTGTTCAAATCGGAGGAGCCGTCGCAACTGTTGGGCTTGTTGCTTTGTTTTTTTCCACCCGACGCCACCCCCGCCTGCCCTGTCTTGTTTTAAAACGTACGCGCGCGAGTGATTGTTCGGCGGATCGACATGCCGAACAAATGTTGTGCTACGGGATGTCGCGGCAACTACAAAAATACCGAAAAAGTGCATGTGTTCAAGTTTCCTCAAGACGGTGACCTGCGGCAAGATGTTCACACGCCTGTTCACGTGCCGGGATATGTAGTACATTTAAATCAAAACATTTGTGCCGTCCTTGAACTGTTCCGTTTGTACGTCAACACCAAGTCTACACGCCGCGTACTTGATGTGTGAGGAACGTTCCTTATGGATACACAGGATTTCATTCGCAGCATTCATAGGTGAGATATAGCACAATTTCAACTTGATTTGTAGTGTAGATGCGAGTAGCTCTTGACAAAAAGCTCTCTGAGCTGCTTGCATTCACGAAGAAGATTGATTTCTAAGGTTGCAATGTTGCCCAGACTTACTTAAACCAGATGCCATTAATGATCACTCTGTTTTGTACTATATTTTGTAGAAATGTTTAGTCTTCGTCGAACGGATAGCTGCTATACACAGATAAGTTGATGTGACGCGACTCGTATAAAACAAACAAAGACAATAAATTTTGAACACCATTCTATCTACTACCCAGTTGTCATGACTACATTACTGGCTTATCATAAATCTTAGTACTTTGTTGCAGGCATGAGATTAACGACCCTGTAGTTTTATCCTGTTAACGCTGTGGTGTAAGCTCAAAAACTTTTATTAGAAGATAAATCTAGGAGGTTTATGACAAGATTTCAGGTAATTCTAGCTGCAAAAAGAGGTAAAGCATACTTCAGAATAAATTAAAATCTTTGTATAAATTCCTTGCCGAAATAACAACTCTACGCCAAAAGGAACACCAGACCACTAGTTTTTGCTTTTAAATAAACCACTTTGTTTTAGGCACAAATTCATTTATTATACTTGTGTTTACTACATCAACCTTGTTAGCATTGTGATGTGTAATGCCATTTTAATCACTCTCTATCATGTAATTTTTGGCAAGTATTATTTATAAATAATTTATCTTGGGGGGATAATTACATCATTTACAGTTACGTGCTTCAAAGTAAACTCTATCTAGCTCGAGACCCCGATACACACCTACCCTGTTCTTACATTTTACATCAATGATTTAATGCAACAATAATTCGCTAGTTTAAGAAAATCTGTTCCTAACCCAAATGGTGTGCACAGTTGGCGTTTAAGGATATGAAGAAACTCGTTGCATTGAGGGTAAACCACCGCGCGTTGCCTTCTCTTCCGCGGCACCGATGGCCTCTTCTCTCGCCCATGCGGGAAGAGCGCTGAGGCCTTTCTAGTCTAGGAGGTGTTGTCCGTACCCACCCATCCTCCTTTCCTGCTCCCCTCCCATCTAGCAGAAACGTTTCGCTAAAGTTAGGGGTAAATTTGGCGAAAATTTCCCAGAAAAATTTAGCGGGGAAATATTCGCTAAATTTAGCGGGAAAATGTTTCCGCCAAAATGACGTGTGACGTCACACGTCAATTCCACGTGTGACGTCACGTGACCTCACGTAAAAATTTACGCGGAAATTTAGCGGGGAAAATTTTCCCGACAAACTTAGCAAAAACATTTTCCGCCAAATTTAGCAAAACAATTTCCCCGCAAAATTTAGCGGAAAACTTTACCCTCGTGACGTCACGGGTGACGTCCTTATGGGAAACGTGCCATAATGCAACGCGCGGTTTTGCCCACGCCGCTCAACCCGGAAACGGGCTCCTAAGAGCTGCGCTCTAATATCAATAGTATTCATTGGGGTAAACCATCCTGCACGACTATCTAAAACATTGCGCACATCGTGAAAGCTGCCTGTTTTATGCAGGCAGAAACAGAGAGAGGAGCAGGAAGAGCGAGCGGAGATATGAGAATGGCGAGCCCTATTTAGCATGATTAGTGGGTGAACGCAAATCTAGCTTCCTTTATCCCCAGTTCACTCGTCGAACGCGCTAGAACGCGGAACGCAGACGTCCGGCGTTTGACTTTCGCATTCGAACGCGTTCCAAGAGTGCAGCGAAGACAAAGGCACCTAGTTTTACCTCTCTACCCATTAATCACTCCAACCAGAGCTCGGCGTTCTGAAGCACCCGAGCGCTCTAGGCCGTGCTCCAAATCTTACTCAAATGTATCCGAGTTACTCTGGCGGGTCGTGTCACGTGACAACAAAGATTGAAAAACGCTGGACGAAGGTAGGTTTTGGAACGCCAAGGTACAAAACCCTTACCCTGGAGTAAGATCGAGAAAATTTTGGAACACGGCTCTTGTCTGCACCTCTCTCCCTGTTTCTCTCCGCGTAGGAACGGGAACATGCGCGTATTTTTTAAATATTTTTTAAGAGAAATCGTTACAATATGAAGGTAGCTGGAATAGAGCGAGCGTTATCCAAATCACGAGGCTCCTACGTATGCGCCAGTTGAGAAGGATCGCCGCGTCTGAAGTAGTGACAGGTTTGAATACTGCTGCGAGAAGGATACGGTGCGATCCATTTCCTGGAGTCACTTGAAATTTTTCCCACGTGTTCTCTTCCTCTTCATAAAAGCTCATCGTGATCTGCGTAGAGGAGGCACTTTTACGCTTCACAAAAGGGAAGTCTGAAATATTGGACAGAGTAGATGCTGAGATTTGAGGGACTGAAAAGCCTTCAGGTTTCAAGAAAACACATATAAGTCCGGAAAAACTGCCAAACACAAAGTAAAAAAAATCGCTTTTTAAAAATCAAGTAAGTAAGATTTTTATGATTTAAATCAGACTAATTTGGTTTAAATCGTTGTAGGTTTCAAATAGGAACTCTTTACCACTAGATGCATTTTAAACACGGCGTACTGATTGATCAATCAGTCCGATCACTGATAACACTGAAAAAGAATTGATTACTGTAATTATAAAGTACAGTTTAATTAAGCACTTTTTTATTTTTGTAAAACCTGCAACACTAGAAGGATTTATTGATATTTTTAGTTAGCTAAAGTGCTTTATTTGCTTTTTCTTTCACGTTCTGATTTGTTTGTGATAAGACATTACTTTCTAGTTTTTTCTTCTTTTTTTCCCGTTATAAATTGCTTGCGATCGGACATTACGTAACTGGCTAACAAAGTTAAGGTAAAAAGAAAGCTCAATGCCCTATTTGATCAGAAGAGCACCGCTCTCTGCTGGTGTTCAGCCTGATGTGAATAGTATTTCTTTCTGGATAATCTTTTGATTATAGTAAAATACAAATACACAAAGAAACCATCAAACGATAGACAGAAAAAAAACATATTTTTCATATTGTATTTGTGGCAAAGGTTTGATTTAAATTATTAGAGTATAAAACATGTAATTTAAATAACGATTGAAATCAAGATTTAAATTTCGATCTATATCATCTTGATGTTTATTTTTCACCGGTGCTGAGTAAATATATCGGTACAGAGCGCTTACG